CCCCCCCCTGCACCCCCAGAAAACCCGCCCCTGCCTTGAAGTGACCTATCGCGTGTAGGTTTTCAACCTGCACTGTCAGACAAGAGTGTAGGTCGATAATATAGTCTGGGTTATGTTCGTTGACTAACTCCTCTAAATGTTTTAGCCCATTTAGGATCATAGTGACTGAAACCTTTGTCTGGGTAGAAATAGTTCCATGAGCGCCGCTTGGTTGACTTTTTCTACCGCTGCCATCATTGATATGTGACAACGCTTTCTCTTCTTCCAGAAGCTTGATTACTTGGGACAGGGTATGTTTTGGGACTGTTTGATGTTTCATATGGACAGAAAAGGCTTTATACAGGAGTCCAAGATGACTAAAAAATTTGACAATACCGGTAATGGAAGTAATTAGCTTGACCAAGCCAGTTTGAGCGTCGGTAATAAAGATATTTTTATCGAGTTCGACACATATGCCCATAGGCTGCGCAAACGACACTTTGTCTGCCTTCCCATTTAAATTTCCTTCCTTTCCTGTTCCAGCAATGACTACGCTCTCCTTGCCAGGGATCTTCGACTTGATTTGCAAGCTTCCGGTGTCTGCATAAACTATACCATCGAGGTACGGCGCTGCGTGTGCACTTTCACTATATTCAGTTGTTCCGTTTCGTACAATAGTAGTCTCCTCAAGTGTTGACATTGCAATAGCTGTAATTCCGCCTGGGTTTCCCTTGTGAGACAGATAAAGAATATTGAGATTAAGACACATGGACACTACTTCAGTACAAGAGGATGGGTATTTAGCAAAAATAGTAACATCGCCTTTAACTGCAACTCCATCCATCTGTAATGTGATTGAATAGATTAACTTGTCCGCATCATTTGCACAAAGTAGTATACTATCACTTGCCTTGGCAACACAGGAAGGCTCAAACTTTCGAGAAAGTTGTACTTTAGTCAGGTCACTTTGAGTTTCACCATAGATTTTTTCGACATTCTTTAGATGTTTAGACAGTCGCTCTCTGACCACTGACACTGTTCCCTGTGTGTCAAGACCTCTCGTCTGCAACTCCAAAATAAGCTCAACTTTTTTATACAGCAAAGACAGCAAAGGAAGGCCTTTTGCTGCCTTTGCTGTATTGGTATAGTCTGTAACATTTTACAAATAAATTATATAGACTATATAGATGCAAAAATGACTGAGATCATTTGAGATGATTCTGTTCCTTACTCCATGTCGGTCATCGAGGCACTGGCATCGCCGTCCATGTCTGCATCACGGTCACTGTCATAATCAACATTTATAGCTGCTGTGGTGTCTGTCGTGTTAAGTCGCAGGATCAGATACAAATTGTTGCATGAAATTTTTCATCTTGGTAAACTCAACAATAGATTTCTATCACTTGTCTTCCTTGACACAAGCTGTATCATAGTGCTCTAAAACAAGGAATAGAATAAGAAAACAATTACCATGAAAGACCATGAAATTTACAACAACTAAGGCATTGAAAAGGAAAAGTGGAAAAGGTCAGAAGATTCAGAATAAATTCATGCTTTGGTCAGGCAAGGAGAAGTCATGAAACAAAAAAAACTTTTCTTGAAGTATTCTACCTTTGCTTTGGGGGCTCGATCGGTTGGCACAATCTTTTGCTTCTTACAACACCCACACAAAATGGTATACTCATTCACTGCCTTGCTGCTATTCAGCTCTTCCAAAACTGTCACGAAATAAAAAGATAAAAATGTTATCAAAACCTGTTCCTTCAAACATCCTCAATAGTCGTCCCTCATTACCCTCAAACAAAAATGGAAAATGTTCGCTCTCACCTTTGTTCATATCTTCGAGTTGTTTTATCTGTCTTTCATTTCGTTCGACATTTTCACCTGTTTTAATCTTTTTAACCAATTCTGCATCCTCTAGTTTCGCTGCTGATCTTTTCCTTCCATTTTTTCTGGTTTTCTGGTCTTGGGTACTCAATTCTCCATTGTCTCGGGTAAGGCAGATTTTAATGGTGATGCTTTTTCAAATGTAATTTCTTTTCTTAACACATTTACTGAAAAGGATTCAAGTAATACATTTTCTAAGGTTTTATTTTAACTGATAAATATTTAACTTATTAAAATTGGTTTACATTTAACCCATTAAGCTGCAGAGCTTCCCCGTTGACAAGTGAAATCGTCTGGTGTTAGCAAGCAAAAAAAATAAGTAGGGTGCACTGGGTGGGTTAAACATGTTATCACAACTATCAAGTTTTTTTAAAAATTAAAAAATAACAAAAACAGTTACAGTCATAACAGAAAAATGCACACATTTTAATTATACCCAATAAGTAATTTAAAATATAATATGGAATTGTTTAATGGGGTTAGATAATCAGTACACCATTGACTTATAGTTATCAGTGGCATAACCAGCCCTGAAAATTTGATCATGCTATTCAAATTTTAAATAATCATTACTCATTTCTTTAGAAATTGATTGTTTTCACAATCTAAAACATGAAAATATTTGCATATAACATGACTATGCAAGTGTTGTTGGGCTGGCGTCATCATTAGTAGTTATAAAAAAGTAATGTTTGCCAAGGCACATAATTGGATTATGTGGTGAAAATATTTCCTTTTTTGCACAAAATATATATTGGACAGCAAAAGACCTAACATTGTAACCAAACTTATATCACATCACCATGTCATACCCAAATCCATCCTACGATGAATCTCTGGACTTGCTCCTGTATAAATCTCAAAGTCGCAAAATAACCATTCGGACCGTCTCCAGCAGATTTATCTCCCACATAGTAGGCCATCTTTCATGAACTGCCTAATCCCCAACCTATTCCTTGATTTGACAGTGTGTTCGTCAACAGCAATTTTCTGTGATAGCTGGTACAGTTGTTGATGTACTTTATTGCTGTAGTCTTCAGTGACAGGATCTACCATATTCAGAAACTTTGCTTTACAGCGCTTTGTACCCAACCAAAAAATTATTTCTATTGCCCACAGACCATGATATAAGGTTTTACATTCCAATAATTTTCAATCTCACTGTCGACCTTTACCAAACCTGCATATACTAAAAAGGCAATCAACCTCTCAATCTCGTCAAGGTTGGTGGATTCCAAGACCCTTCTTTATTAGTATATGGGGATGATTGTTGGGTTATTTGTATGTGGGCATATGTATTGGTATGGCCAGGAAACTACCTCCTGAAGCATTCCCGTAGTAAAAAAGAGCCGAATGAACTCAAGCTCACAGTTCATACTTCTGGTGAAAGCTTGATCGAAATAGACCCCGAACATGTTGGTGAGGGGCAAAATCTGGGATAATATTCCTAGTGTCAGGATCACCATATCCGTCATGTACTATGGGGCCTAGTGGGGGTGCTAGACAGAGAGCTTGGGCTTCCCTCTACCCATCCCCTACCTTCCCTCTACTCTTACACATTTTCCTAATGGGGGTTGGGTAGTGGGGTTTTCATGACTCTCAGAACTGCTACTTCCCTGAGGCTATGAAACAGGAACAGCAGCTAGGAACAGGGTCAATATCTTCATCACTGCAAATAAAAACTTTTTATAGACATAATCTATATGGTGCCACTTGAAATTATAATAAGAGCCAAACTAGTAAGATATAAGTATGAACACTTGGTCTATTATGTATGTAACAAACAACCAAACATGTGCTCAAGGCTCATACAAAAATGCGATATGAGGACATACTTGGTCATTCTAGTGAAGCTATACCAAATGCAAATAAATTTACAATGCCATGGCAACGGCAAAACATTGAAATGGAATGTCTAAAAATTGATCAAAATACTTGCCTTGAAACTCCAGACATGACTCCCAATGCCAGGTTGAGATACTTGTCTTCGTACGAAGACATTCTGTCATTACAAGCACTATCAGTTTGCAAAATAAGGCCAAGAACGTCTTGAGGATGCGATTCAAACAATACAATTACAACACAATACATTACAACGCTTGTGTGCGATAATCAGGAAAATTGCTCTAAAAGGTTTGTTTTTTTGCCTAAGCCAATAAAAATCCGTCTGTAGGGTAAAAAAAACACTCCGGAAGTGATATCTGCAGTCTTTTTACCAGGAAACTGAAATGCTTTACCAAGAATTTGGTGTTCGAAGTTGGCCGAACACTTTCCAACAACGAGAATCACCATAATAGGCGTAGATTATTTCGTAATTTCCCAAGACTGCTCCGAGCTATAGAATGAAAGATGGCGATTCTTTCGGTCTAGTATCTCAACCTGGCATTGGGAGTCATGTCTGGAGTTTCAAGGCAAGTATTTTGATCAATTTTTAGACATTACATTTCAATGTTTTGCCATTGCCGTGGCATTGTAAATATATTATTGACACCTTCAGGCCTTGCTACTTCCAGCACTGACATGGCTTCCTTGTTCGGCTATAAACAGCCTGGCAAAGAGCCAGTCTTCTTTATTTAAAAACACTATTTAATAATACAAAAAACATGCAAACATGAAAAAGGTTTTGGTCTAAGATTAACTTTATTGATGCCATTCCATAAAACAAGCTCACTCTCTACAAAAATTTACATTACACTGAGCACACATATTTACTTTCAAAAGTTCCTTAAGTTTAAATTTAAAGGGATTTTATATCAATACACACAAGTCTATACCTAATGGATTATCTAGTGCCCCAAGAATATTCAGCAAACTGCTCAAACCAGTCTATTCTACCTTATGGGGTATGGGTCATATAATTTCTGGATATATTGATGACTCTATCTTCAAAGGGATACATACAGCTGGAAGATCCTTTTTATGGCTACTTGGAGCACTAGAAATCTTTTTGTAGCTGTTATAAGTCAAAATAAGTTGCCTTGCCAAAGCAAGACGGAAATCTAAATGTGTTAGGCAACGGCGTCGATCAGTCAGCAAGTTTTGCAAAATAAAACTGTTATTAGATTGAGCTCCTACAGGGTAGTGGCTCCTATATTGGTCGTTTACATCTATGCCGTTCATAAATTTATTGTCATGCAAACTAAATTTTCATTTTGTCTTGTTTGAATTTCACCGCGTTTGAGTTTTATCTTTTTTAAATCCGACAGAAAACGTTTTCTATTAGTTAACCTGCATCTAAGGACATAAATCCTCATTAATATCATTAACACGACGAAAGACACACAAAATCACTGTTTCTTATTGGCTCTCACTATATCACCTATATGCAAAACATGGCCAAACGCAAAATAGTAGGATTCTATTGGCTGTTGCATTACCTTTCTTGTATGCTAAATATGTTGTCCTGAGTTATTCGTTTTGTAATTTGCATGGTCATGAAATATAGGTAATAAATCATTACTATATGCAGATAGTCATTTTGACAGATTATGCTTGCAACCCACTGTTAATCTGCCCAATGGATTTTGTCTTTAGTCTTTACTTTTCTACAAATGACAATTTGAATAGATAGAAAACCTGACTCAATCTGCATGCCAATCAATCAATCTTTTAATCGTCTTAAGATAAAAGGTACATATCTTAAGTTACAATAATTATTATTCTATAAGTTATATTTAAAAATAAATCTATTTACAAAGGTGTTTTTAAATCTTTTTGTGTTAATCTTAGGATAAATTCTATTCTGCTTTCTAAGGCGATAATTAGTTGTCTTCTTCTCAGGTAAAATCTAATTTAAAGGATGTTCAATATCTGAAATACATTTGTTATAAAGTTTTTTATCTTTAACTTCTAAAAGTTTGTGTATGTTAATATAATAGGAGACATAGTGTCTTTTAAAACATCTATCTAAACTAGGAGTTACTGTCGCAAGGAAATTGCTGCCTCGAGCTGACTGGTCACAAATTTTAGAGCTCCCTCGATTATATTCCTAATAGCTTAATTATGGCTACAAAGAAACTAAGGGAAGAAAACGAACTCCTACGATCGGAGATCGAAGGGTTAAAGAACCAACTATACAAGATAAGTGAAGATTTGAAAACACAACAAGCTACTGCAGCATCAAAGTCAAGCAGAACCGCTGAAGCGAAACAGGCAAAAGATACGATCAAACGAACAAACTCTGAGGAACGAGCAGAGGCTGTTGTCTTTATGAGCAAACAATATGATGATCTAGAAGTATTCCGTAAGCAAGCGACGCAAGATATCCAACAGATCACAAAAAAATTGGATTCAATCAGTAAAAAATGTGATGAGATTACTGAGGCCATCGAAGCGGCCGAACAATATAGCTACCAATACAACATTAAGATCATGGGCGTACCGCAATTAAACGAGAAAGAATCGGCTGAAACTACAGCAAATCTTTGTATCAAGCTGTTTACGGCTATGGGCGTAACTGATGTATCTTTACAGGACATAGACATTGCACATCGTGTCCAATCTAGAAGACCTTCACAAAATTCCAACCCAATTATATGTAAATTTGTCCGTCGACTAGCTAAAGAAAAGATTATGGCGGCTCGGAAACATGCATTAGATAATATCACGCCCGATCAGCTTGGTATTGAAATGGCCTATCCTTCAACTACACGAATTAGCATGTTTGACCATTTGACACCACGCCTACAAAACCTTCTGTATGAAACAAAAAGGTATAAAACGAGCAAGGGTTATAAGTTCTGCTGGGCAAGAAACAGTCAAGTTTATTTAAGAAAATCAGAGAACACTGGAGTAATCCGTATAAAAATACTGCAAGACCTGACCAACCTAATTGAACAGGAGTCATTAAGATAATCTGTTAACAATACCTCAGCTAAGTACTATATTTTCTTTGAATTTTAAATGATGAGTAGAACAGAAATCCATATTAATAGAACTATCCTGGTTCAAGTACCTTTCTATGGTGTGTATAGTGATGATGTTTTTATCGATCACTGTACCAGTGAAAGGTATTTGAACAAACTTACTAGCCTGTATGATCTAGACGTATTCAATCTTAATATTGAAACAGAAGCTGATATTAATCCGGATCGAAATGCAATGAGCAACCATATTAAATGTAAATATTATTCTCCAGAGAGCTTTACTAAAATTGAAAAGGATCCATACGGCTCAAGTGATAGCCGTTTTTCTTTTTTCACAATAATGTATGTAGTTTGCGCAGAAACTTAGAACATTTGCAAACTCAAATATTGGATGAGCTTGATTTTTCATTTAGTGTAATAGGCATCACAGAAACGCGTATCAAACAAAATAATTTTAATGATTTCAACTATAATATTACTGGATATTCATTTGAATTTGTACCAACGCCTCTTGCTGCTGGAGGTGTTGGAATGTATATTAATAATCGATTTAATTATGTGGTCATTGAAAAGGCAATTAACATAGCTTACCAAGCACTTTGGATTGAAATTGATGTTCCAAAGAAAAGAAATATTATATGCTCAGTTATATACAGGCAGCATAACTTGCCTGAGGAGTAATTCCATGCCATTTCAACACAAAAAAAACTGATTTGACACCCACCCTCTCCAAATTTCTTTATATTTCGCAGGCAGTTAACATTGTGTGGGAATAGTTTAAGTTCAAAATTTGAGCATCGTAGCTGCAATAGTTTATAATGGCCTGAAATAATATGGCCTGAAAAGCAAAAAAGTGGGCGTGGCCAGTGCTAAATTCACCATTACCTATTTTACATTTCGACCTGTAACTTCATAACCGTACATGGTATATCCATCAAAATTTGCACAAAGATGTATTTGTATGTGGAGATTTCAAATATTGCACTTTCATGTTTGTATCTGCAACCAGTAATGTGTTATTGGACAGCAAAAAGTCTAATTATGTGTTTCTGAAGACACGAAATATACATCATCTTTATTGGAAAAATTTTTATGGAAGCCATACAGACACATCAGTAATTTTTATTCCACATCATATCCACATGCTATTCTACTTTCAAGCAAAATTTGGTGATGGTTAGTTGCCTGCTTTAAAAAGTAGAGCCCTTTAAAGTTGTTGTATTTTCTAAATAACTTTAATAGTACGTTTTGGGTGTTTGTTAAGAATAAAATACATTCATTGAGAAGTAAGACTGCCAAATACCTTAATGTTTCATTCGATCCTTCTTTATGGATAGTGCATATATTTGTTTTAAAGGTTTAAAAATTACATATTTATTAATAGTACATGCACAAAAAGAATATCAATGGATCAAAAGTATGCACTACAATTTATTTCTTATGATCTTATCTACCCCTTCTCGTGAACCAATTGTACTTTCAGTGAACTCTTTTATTGTATGCTTGTAAGATGATGAAAAATGGCTTGATTTGATTGAAGAAGTTGACAATGATCAAAGAAATGCAAAAATTAATAAGGTTTATGCACCCAAAGTGCATCGCAAGATCATATTTCTGGCCAGTAAGAGGATACTTGTTAGCGGTTGACCGATAATTGCGTCGTGTACTCGTGTCAGACATGCGTTTCAACGGAAACTCTTAAACATCTTTATCGAGCTTTAGTCCAACCACACTTTGATTACTGCTCGATGATTTAGGGTAACTGTGGCGAATCGTTAAGAGGCAATCTTCAGAAACTCCAAAACTGAGCTGCAAAAGTTATTACGGGTGATTCATATGAAATACGCTCCATAGATATTTTAAAGAAACTAGATTGGAAAACGTTAGGTGAAAGAAGGACGGAGCAACAACTAAAATATGTATCAAAAGCACTTACATGCAGGGCTCGAATTTTATCGCGGCAATTGCCGTAGAGGGAGAACAAAATGCCGTGGATCATTGCGGCAACGACGGCAATTTTTTGCAGTGTAGTGCAATTTTTATACTATTCACTGTGCATTACTACTTAATCTACTTTGATACTTGAATTCAGATGTTGATCAAATCATGCGTAAATCACTATTTCAGTCTCAGTTTTCTTCGAAAAAAACACTAAAGAAGTACATAGACATGTTTCTTAGCTTGTCATAAATCCAAAGTAACAATAAAATTAAAGTTTTATTACAGTAATTTGAAAAATGCCGTGGAAACTGCCAAAATTGCCGTAGACAGCTGTTACGTGTTCTACGGCAATTTTTAACGCCATTGCCGTCGATTGATTTCAGGGAAATTCGAGGCCTGCTAACATGCCAATTTCACGATAACATTTCGGACATGTTTAAACTATATAATTCAGATCGATATGAATTAAAAAATAACAAAAATAAGTTGATGTTGTTGAAGCCAAAAACAAATTCAATGAAACGAACTTTCGGTTATGTTGCTGCTAAAGTTTGGAATGAAGAAATAAAATTTTTATATAATTTTATCTGTGTGGGGTTGAAGTGAATAATAAACTTTGAATGTCTTTCTAAAATAATTCGGGTGGTTCGGGGAGGGTGGGTGCATGGGAATCTCTTATACTGTCTGTAAGTACACAGCCTAGTTAATTTTTGCCTTGCTAATATTTTTTTAGTTGATTAGCTACCGTGTTACAAGATGGTTTTAATAAAAAAGTAAATAAAAAATTATAATCAGAATCGGACCGATTTTTGCTTATTGTATTTTCCGATTGTGTAAAACCGATTGTTGAGAAAATACGCACTTATCTAAAAATCATATATATTGCGCTGTGATACACGTTGAAATGCAATTTTTTATGTGAAAACAACAACTGTTTAATCTCTTGCGCGAACGGTAGCGTGTTGCATAGTAGGTGTGGAGCAAACCGTTGCCGCGACGAAATAATATGTGAAGCGTGTCATTTATGTACAGGTTTAACGAACTTTGGTTGCTACTAGTAACATGTTACGTTGGAAATTATCATTAAATTCTCGAAATGGATTATGACGTCATAGATAATCAGAATCGGGTAAATTGTTGGATGAATAATTGATAATAATCGGTCAATCACTAATACTTGTCGGGTTTTGGATGAGAACATTATTTCTAACATTGGTGTTCCAACAATAGTCACTGGGAGGCAGTACAAACTGCAGCCTAAAGACCAAGAAGTCTTACGCACATTCATGGATAAAAAGTAGTGATCTCTATATATACTTCTTAAGGTAATTTGATATAAGAAATAACAGTTACTCTTGGAGAACATAATGTACTATTAAAAAAGAATGATAGAATCAAACATTAAGGTATTTGGCAGTCTCATTTCTCAATGAATGTATTTTATTCTTAACAAACACCCAAAACGTACTATTAAATTATTTAGAAAATACGACAACTTTAAAGGGCTCTACTTTTTAAAGCAGGCAACTAACCATCACCAAATTTTGCTTGAAAGTAGAATAGCATGTGGATATGATGTGGAATAAAAATTACTGATGTGTCTGTATGGCTTCCATAAAAAATTTTTCCAATAAAGATGATGTATATTTCGTGTCTTCAGAAACACATAATTAGACTTTTTGCTGTCCAATAACACATTACTGGTTGCAGATACAAAGATGAAAGTGCAATATTCGAAATCTCCACATACAAATACATCTTTGTGCAAATTTTGATGGATATACCATGTACAGGTATGAAGTTACAGGTCGAAATGTAAAATAGGGTAATGGTGAATTTAGCACTGGCCACGCCCACTTTTTTGCTTTTCAGGCCATATTTCGAATTGCGATATCTCAAAAACTATTGCAGCTACAATGCTCAAATTTTGAACTTAAACTATTCCCACACAATGTTAACTGCCTGCGAAATATAAAGAAATTTGGAGAGGGTGGGTGTCATGCCTGTGTTGAAATGGCATGGAATTACTCTGAGGCGTTTCAAACATACTTTGAACAAAAATTAGAATATTATACCTCAAAGGGCAAGCATGTGGTTATCATGGGTGACTTCAACATAGATCTTTTAAAAATTGACCAATGCAACTATGCACATAATTTTATGCTATCTGTACAAAGTTGCTCGATGATCCCTAGCATTGATAAGCCTACACGTGTCCACAGAAATTCATCCACGCTAATTGATAACATATTTATCAATAACCCTGATAATATATTAGCTAGTGGGAATATAATATCTGATGTGAGTGACCACTTTTCACAATTTTGTATTTTAGATTCTATAGCTAGCGTGAGCAGAATATTTTTAAACACAAATATTGTGACTATTCACAATTTCCCGAAACTTTGTTTAATAATGAGCTCTCAGAAATAGATAACCCAAACAAGGCATTTTCGACTTTCTTTAACAAATTAAATAAAACTCTAAATAAACATGCACCGCTTAAAACTATTTCAAAACGTAAACTGAAACAATCAATCAAACCATGGATAACGAAAGGGGATAAGACGATCAATAAAGATCATGAATAAGTTATTTCACTCTAATAATAACACAAAATACAAGTTATATCGTAACTATCTTGTAACTTTAATTCGGTCAAGTAAAAAGTTGTATTACTGTGATTATTTTAACTCATATTACAATAACATGAGTAAAAAGTGGGAAGGAATAAGGGAAATACTAGGGCGCAATAGCAAAACTAAAAAGAATATCAATGCTGTTCGACACGATTCAAATGCCCAATTAACATTTGATCCCACAAAGATATCAAACATAATAAACCATCATTTCGCTTCTTGTGGTCAACGATTAGCTGCAAAAATACCTCATTCTGGAAAACATTATTCAACATATCTTCCTGACCAAATCATGTACAATTCCGCCAATGCTTCCCAACAACAAGGGTCTTTTGCTTTTATCCCAGTAACAGCTCGAGATATTGAACTTGAAATTATAACATTACCTGCCAAAAAGGCTGAAGGCCTGTATTCGTGCCCTTATCGAATATTAAAAAGTGCCCAGCATGTTATTAGCAAGCCTTTAGCAGATATCTTTAATTGCTCCATTGAAACTGGAATATATCCCAGCAAACTTAAAATTGCACCAATTTACAAATCTGATGACGAAACTGACCCAAATAATTATCGCCCAATATCTCTTCTATCCTCATTCAATAAAATTTTTGAAAAAATTATGTATAAACGCTTACAAAGTTATCTAGCTAAGAAAGAATTTTTCTGTGATTCACAATATGGTTTTCGTAAACAACATTCACCCCAACATGCTATTCTTGATATTATTAACAAAATTCAAGATAATATGGATAGAAAAATGTACTCCTGTTGTATATTTATTGACCTAAAAAAGGCATTTGACACAGTTGATCATGATATTCTGTTGGGTAAGCTAGATTATTATGGTATTAGAGGAGTAATCAATAACTGGTTTTCTTCTTATCTTAAAAATCGCACGCAAACTACTTTAGTTGGAAACTGTGTATCTAACAAAGAAACTACCTTGTGTGGAGTACCCCAAGGCTCAGTTCTTTGACCTCTACTCTTTTTGATCTACATTGATGATATTCGTGAATCATCTGAGATTTTCAAATTCTTTCTTCTTGCTGATGATACTAACTTATTGTATGCTGATAAAGACCTAAAAATGCTCGAAACAGTTGTCAACGCTGAATCAAAGAAAGTCTGTGA